AGTTTGATTTCTCTGTGAGGTCCCACAGCCCAAGATGGAAAAGAGCTGCTGAATTTACTTCTCCACTAAATGAAATGTCTGTGGAGCCGCAGTCAAATCTGGCTGCTCAGGTCAATTATACCAAATCATTAACTGCAGATACACAAGGCTTTCCTTCCAGATTGTACGTGGACTGCACAGGAACATTTTCTGCATGGCAGCTGGGGCACAGGCACTTGTTTGCATGCTGGAGGCCTGGATGTGGTGTCAGGGCGACAGACGGTGACTTCCCGGCGTGGTTTAACCCCAGCTGGCAGCTGAGCCCCACGCAGCCACTCGCTCTCTCCCTGGTGCTCCGTGTAAGCACTGCTCAGCAATAACAAAAACATCAGCAACATCATTCTCGTGCTGAATACAAAGCACAGTGCTATACTGGGAAGAAAATGAACTCTATCCCAGCCCAAACCAGGGCACTTCCCTTCCAGTCGTGTTGCCCCGATCTCAAGTTATGTCAGTCTCTCTTGCTTAAGTATTTGAAAGCCAGAAATGTTCTGCCCATAAGGCAGAACAGAACAGATCCTGTGCATCATTAATCATGGGGAGGGAGGGATATCTATCAGGGACAAGGGGGGGTAGGTAAAGAAATAAAGTAAAATGTAAATGAAAACTAGATTTTAAGAAAATCTCTTATTTAAAGAGAGAGTAAGATTAAGCAGCTGTAAAGACAACAGCCTGAATTTGGCTGTAAAATTCATTGACATTTTTACAAATAAGAATACCTAGACTAATTCACTCATTGAAATTTCAGTGTCACAAGGAATTTAGAAAGAGTATGCACCATTATTTGATGGAAAAATATTCTTATACTCTGCTTCTTGTTTGTGGCATAATGAAGGGAGCTGTAATGTGGAAGAACAAAACTTTGTTGTTTTGATTAAAGTGATTTTTTTTTTATAGTATATTGAGTAACTAAGCTGTTTGAGATCAGTACGTTACAGTAACGTTAGTTACAATATATAGATTGTCAATAAACTTAGGGAAGTTGCAAGAGCCAAAACATCCTATGCTTGATTGACACTATAATTTTCTTGTCTTTTTTCTGCACTTCAGCAAAGCAGAACCTGGCTGATGTTAAGTATAATACTTTAAAGACATTAAAATACAAGATCCTGATAGGCACCTGCTTTTACATGTTTTCCTGTTACTCTATTTTATGCTTTTTGTCCAATTTTGATTTGCAGTTTTGTTCATATAATTGGATGTAATTCTTGTTTTAAACTAGACTTTTGTTGTGAAAAGTCACATCAGGATTCACGATGTTACTAGAACCGTAATTTTACTCTTATAACATCAAATTCTTTTTGTAATTTGTGTTGCGTGTAAAAAGACTCTGTCCTGCTCTTGCCATAGCAACCACATCTTTTGTTTTTACTAAAGGAAAAATACTTGAAATGATAAAGCTTAATTATTAATTTTGGGAACATGATCCTTTGATTTACCATTGTTATGTCCTTCAGAAGGGAAAATGTTGATTGTCTTGCTGGTACCAAATTATCCATTACAACGTGTCTCTTAAGTGCTCTTGTGAGAGGGAAAAGACAGAAATTGAGGCCTCGTTCTACAAAAGCATTCGTGGGTACAAAAGATAAATTGTATTTTTTGATTTATCCTTTTGCCAGTTTTTATAGATCTGTGGATCATTATGGCTATGGCTCCTGCTGCAGAATTTCTCAGGTACCACCTGAGATACATTAAAAAGATTTCACGTTTTTTGGTAGTGCAGAACCATCTAGATCTTAACTTCTACATTTTGAGTATTAGGCCATATGTGCTTCTTCTCCATCTCACCAAGAATTTGTCTCTCTGCACATCAGCTTTATCCTTGGCTACCCCACGTTTGCCTCTTGGGTCATCTTTGTGCTTCTTGCAGTTCCATCAGGCTTTCCCTTCCTTTCTTGGCGCCCATAATGATGTTTTTCTTTGACAGTAAGTCTGAAGGTACCGTAATTTTGTTTGTAGATGTAATCTCTAGACAGGATTGAACCAGAACTGCGAGGGCTGTCTGCGTTTTGGCAACACCTCATTTCCCCTTCTACATCTTTTCCACAGACGTTATGTCTTCAGGCAGGACTAGATGTATTTTTGCTTTGCTCTTGCTATTAGTAATCACTAATACTTAATAATTCATGTAATAATGATCTGAAGTGGGACTGGTTTTACTCTGTAGTAATCATTTTTTGACTTGCACTCACAGATGGACTTACAAAGCAAATTTCTTTTCCCATCTTGATTTGGATGTCTTATCAGCTGCTACTACCATAAACACATGAGATTACTCTATGGATGTGAAATACCCAACTTCCTTTTTGAAGCAAATGCTTTTTGGAGATGGAAATATCCATGTAATTTGGAGCATCAAAATAGCAGATTTGACAGAGTAATAAAATACTGAATTAGGAAAGTCTTTCTCAATCTGTAAGCAGTTTTTGTTCTCCCTATTTTGCCAGTTCATGGAGTGAAATCAGGACTGAGATTCAGTGCTGGAAACTCTCCTCCAAAACCCCTAATTACTTGCAGTAGGAATCATTCACTCCCTCACATTTTGAAATATCTTTCGGCTGGAGTCCTACACTCACTTCTATGATTTGATGTACAACAGGTTCCTACAATATCTAGAATATCTAGATATATAATTAATTAAGTTTTCCTATTTCCTTATTTCATCTATAAGAAATGCACTCTATTCTTATGTGAACGAAGGTTACATTGTTAAAAATATACTGGAAGCTGATGAATACACAGTATATATTGGATGAATGAATAGGCTTCTGTGTTATGTAACGTTGAACTATCAAATTGACTTTGTGTGTTAATGTGCATGGGCTTGAAATGTTTTCAAGAACAACTGGAATTTGCCAATATATTTTTCATTAATTATGCACCAAAATTATCTTTATTAATAATTTATGTATTATTCATTTTATTAATACAATTAAAGCACGGATTTGGTTTCTTATTTTTGCTTGCATTTAAATGTAGAGATGAAATATTTTCTGCTTTTATTAACAATATCAATAGGTGTTAGGTAACTAAAGGAAAAGACATACTAACAATTTTTTCTTCAGCTTAAGTGTGGCTGTAGAGTTGTTGGTGTCTTCCAAGGTCAGCGCCCTCCCCCATTATCCTGTAACTACCTGGGCAGGTAAAGGTTTCCTCATGTATGTCAGAAAGGTGCTTGATAAATTGTGCATTTGGGACCCATCCAGGGGTAGGATTTTGCCTTAATGGCTCTATTTCCTGGGGCTTAATATGTACTTATTGACAGTGATGTGTAAATATGCAGTTCATGGAATCTGTATCTCTGAATTCACTACGTTAAAGGATTTAAACTGACACATTTAAAAACATTTTTCTGTCCAATATCTATTTTAATAGTTATCCGTGCTCCGTAAGTAATACCACAAATAGCTTAGGGTTGTATTAATGAGAGACCAGGTAAACATTTAATTTCAAATGCAGTTTTACAGACCCTGGTGTGTCAAACCAGTCTTCTTACTACCTCTTTAGTATTACCAAGATTTATTTTATTCTTTTTTTTGCCTATCATTGATTTGATCTTCATCTTACTCTATAGTAGTGCAAATCAAGTTCAAATTCAATGCCATTGAGTCACAGCAGTTCCACTGATACAGAATTCAATTGCAGTCGGGCTCAGAGACTGTGATTTTAAAGCCTGATAAGGTACGTTTTAACAGCGGAAAGAAGGGCATCAAAGTAGCTCTGAGCAAGTTAATATCCCTACCATGCTGAAATACCCTGCAGAGATATTATTCCAGGTCTTGAAAACCATATGCATACGTTAGCAAAGAGACGTGCTTGGGCTAATTAGCCTTGATTTTCAGCAGGGCCAGTTAGCGTGGCTGGCTTAGCTAGCACACAGCTAATGGAGCTGTGCTGCTTCGACTTCCACAGGCTTATTTTTGGTAGCTCAGGGACCTCCTCACTGAACATTGTGTTTTGTACAAATGTACTCTGAGGACCTGTGTTGTATGACTGAGCTACATTCCCAATCAACCTATTTAGAAAGCTAACTGTGTTTTTGTTAATCTATAACATCACCTTTGTTCCAATATTAATGTACAGTATGCTTCTAACAGTATGTTTATGTTCTTTTAGTATATATTAAACATACAGTGATTTGTAGGAACTTCTAAAAAATTAATTTAAACATAATACTTAGCAAGCATTTAGGATCCTTTCATTACTGTAATTCATCTCCAGTCGCTTACCAGTAAATACATTGTTCTGCAGTCTTTTGTCACAATCCTTATTGAGTCCTAAGATTAATATCAAGATAATTAGACGTACAGGATAAAGCTTTCTCTCCTGTTGGTAAATCATTCTCCTCCCTATTGTCACTATCTGAGAAAAATCATGGAAATGTTTCAAAAGGCATCTACATTGCGTCTCGCACCTGTGGGATATTCAAATGTTCGCTGTGTTCTCAAACCATTAAATCACGTTACTCGACCTACATTACAAATCTCTGGAGCTACCCACTAAATAAAATAGCATGTTTCCTTGGGAAGTAGAAAACATATGAGATATCAAAATATGGATTATTAAAACCCAATGTCAGTGTGGGTTCAGTTTTACAATGGGTTCGGCACTTCAGCTTAATTTGAACAGTCAAGACAATTTTTTTTTGGTCTTAGTATGACCACACATTTATGCCTGATAAAAGCAGCAATGAGAAAACTGAAAAGCAAGAGAATTGCCTGAGGGCCAAGGAAACTTGTGACAAAAATAAATTTGGGGAGAGGTTCCAAAGGCTGATCAGGGAGGGTCGCACTTAAAGGTTACTCTGTGCCGATTTTTGGGGTACCAGCTTTGAGTTATTGTACAGGGTTTGCTTTTACCAACATGATATTCAATTATTACTGAGTGTGTTACATAACTCTTCTTGATATTTACATGAGAAGAGAAAAAATCTAATGCTTCCTCTGTCTCTCTGTATTTAGTTTTAAGCATTGGTGAAGGTGGATTCTGGGAAGGCAGCACCCGGGGACATATTGGATGGTTTCCTGCAGAATGCGTTGAAGAAGTTCAGTGTAAACCGAATGAAAGCAAACCAGGTAATCAAATCAAGTCCCTGTTGAATCCTAATGATGACAAATGTGATGTGTCTGTCCAAGCAGAGAGGCAGCCTCAATGGCAATGTGTTATACAGCAGTGCCGTTGTGCGATACTAGAAACCTGAGAATTAAATAAAGCTGAGCTGCTGAATTAAAAAATAAAGATGGGTTTATTGATCAGATTTTACTGGATGCTGTCCAAGCAAATGGTCTTTCTCATGAGGGACTATTCTGTGAAGTGCTGCGAAGTAGTTTCCACAGAACTGTATGCAGACATTTTGTAAATCATTTTGCTGCGGTTTATTTTCTTACAGTACGGGAGAATGGCTAATTGACAATTAAATAACGGAAGAAAAACTGGTCGGTCGTCTTGCAGTCTGAGGTAGTCGTACAATGTATTTAGCCTTGTTCACAGCAATAAAGTTCCCTCTGTTGACCTTTTACTAAATTTCAGAGGTGGCATCCATTAGTGGGATGTCCCATATACAACCTTACTGACGATGAAGGAAACAGAATCCTCCTTTATGATACATTTACACTGCCATAAGTAAAACACAAGTGACTTTAAGGAAGGTGTCTTTACATTTCTGGTGTAATAAAAGAAAAAGAAATGTACGTTGAAGCATGCTATTTTAAGAATTACCTACCATCTCATAATTTCTCTGCTTTTAAGAATTAAGATACGAGGACATCCTCTCTAATTAAAAGCTCATTATAAATGAGTTCTGAGAGTATAAATAATGTTCTGCAGGAGTGTATGCAGTTTTAAATTAACTGTTGTGTTTTGGATCTCTGATGTGTTGATTAAGAACTTTTGGCATTGCACAGACAATACACTAAAATTTATGCATCATATCATTTGTGGCCATTATTCTTTTATGTATGTCGTTATAAACTGCACAGGTACACTTCTCTTTTTTTATATATACCCACTGTATAAACATGATAGACTGGAATAGAATGCACTGGACAAGATAATAGTTCCAGAGTGGTAAGGATTTGGAAATATTTGTAAGATTTTATAATTATTTTAATTTAATCGGTTATAATGGAAGCTCTGATAAGATGAAATAGAGTTTAAGGGATGAGCAGAAGAGGAGGCAAAAAGTTAGCTTTGTAATATGAAAACTTGGAAAGAATGAGGGAATGAGGCATCAGGGACACTGCTCTAGATAATAACCAGTGTGTGAAGGGGTTGTACTTCCTTTTCTGTTTCCCTTTTGAGAGAGGAAACGAGGAGGACGCAAAACCAGATCTAATATTTGGAGAGAGTGGATTTAGGCTCTGAGAACAGAGAGAGAATAGTTGTGTAGCTCTTCAAAGGACTTGAGCAAATTAGAATTTGAAGATGGAGGAATATTAAACAAGAGGAAGATTGAGGTTGGAATTGGCAAATCTAGAAGCAGTGCGGTTCTCAAATACTAGGTGTAAAAAGAGAATAGTAAGTTGCAATTCTAGTGTGAATTGATTTGTTGGAAACATTATGGAAGACAAATAGATTCAGTCTATGTGGAACATGAGGTGGTGAAGAGCCATGTGTGAAGTGTTCTGAAGAGCCTTCAGTAAAACCTTGTGATCCCTTGATTGAAAGACATCAGAAAGATGTAGTCTATGTAACTAAGTCATCACTAACCTCTTTCGTGAGTCTGTCATGGCAACTCTGTGTTAAATTTGAGCTCTGTATTTGTCTCCAAATACGACGAAAATTTTGGGGAGGGACATTAAGTGAAGTTATAAAATACGAAAGTGATTTTGCAACTTTTTTAGATATAGACAGTGGTTTTGAAGAGAAGGGAACCAAAACTGTTTGTCACAAATCCTTAAAGATCTTTCCAAGAAATACTGTAGGAAGTAAACTCAGTATGTCATGATTGCTTTAATATATAACAAAATTTCTTTGATCATTTAAAGGAAAATGAAAATTAAGAAAAAAATTGTCACACGTCTAGCAAAAGGATTAGCAAAGCTGGAAGTGTTAATATCCAACAGAAACATCTTACAAATTTTTCTGACGTGAAATTCTGAAAACTTATGCCGTGTGTCTGCCAAGCCACCAGAGCGTTTACTCTAATTTATACCTATTGCATACTACGGTCTTTCCGATTGTTTTCCTATTTGCTCGTAGTACAGCATGAATAATAATGTCAACATAGCTAAAGGCTTTAAGTGTACTGTTCTTCTACTCAAAAAAAAAGATGAAAATATAATTAAATAAGCACAAAGTGGGCACATTTTCTAAACCTTTGAACTTGTGCACTCAGATGTTTTGCTGGGCTGTCTTGAAAAATGCCCTGCACCCCGAAGGCACAAATGAGGGAGAGTGCAATGTGGTAGAGGTTGGAACTCTTGAGTATGAAATGTATCAAATCCACAGTATGTGCTGTATTATTATTGAAATGTGGTATGGACGGAAAGCAGCTGATCGCTGAATGGCTCTCTGCAGTTAGCTGCGTTCCCTTTGCATAAGGAACAATGGAAATGAAAGAGGAGAGCTTTATAAGCAGAAATCAGGCAGTTCTCCCTCTGAGTACAAATGCAAAAGTAATTTAGAAAAATGTGTTAAGCATGGTGAAATGATTAGAAATTAAATTAGGTCTGCTGGGATGGCTGAAAGAACATCAGCTGAGAAACATCACAAACTTGTGTGAGTTGCAAGAATTTGCATCGTGGACTTTGCAAAGCAGCAGAACTTCTTATGATAATGATTTAGAAAGTAGATCATCTCAATGCCTAGGAAATGAATCTGAAACTCAGCCTTATTCAGACCAGCACCACAGTAACAATTTTTTTCCCTATAAATGAGATTTAGGAACATTTCTTCAAACAGCTTCCCTTTGCTATTAAGTTTGAATAATTGTGTTTAATAGTAGCTTGTCATTTGCATGCCATGAATGAAAGAAAGAGAAATAGTTCTTGGAAAAAACAAACCACAATTAAACACTACATGCCCAGTAAAACTGGCGGGCAGGTGTTTCATGCCTTGCTGATGTATAATCTCACTTCGAAGACAAGTTCAATTTTCAGGGAACTTCATTGCCACCCAGCCTGTTCAGTGGAAGTAGGCAGCACAGAACAGCACCTGGTTCCTGTGATCTCTTCAAAGATATGCTAGCTTGGCAAGTTTGGTTTTCAAAAAAAAAATCAGGTTGACTGGCATTAATTCTGCATTCTTTCTTCAATCCTTCATTAACTGAGACTTGTAGGAATTATCCCATTATTTTGCTGGGATTGATGCCAGGCTTATAGGCTTTTAATTAGCCAGGTTGTCTCATTTGCCCTTTAATAGCACTGGCACGGGACCTACTGCCTTTCAGTCTTAAGAAGTTTCCTTCACATTTCGAGGTCTAATGGAAAAAGAAAGACAACAAGGAAAATCGTTATCAGTGGTCTGCGAAGTCCTATGCCTGCTTTTAAAAAGTTCTTAGACACCAATCCTTTGTACCATCTCATTTTTAAAAGTGTTGCCTTAGTAGCCAGTTTTTAACATTGTCCCAAATTATTCTTAGAGAGTAAGATCATTCCTTCAGATGAGATTGGTACAACTTGCTTTTTCCCTGTACAAACACAGAAGACAAATGTTATGTATTTCTTCTTTTTACGTTGACAGTTTTCCTATGGTATTCAGTAATGAAACAATTCTGTTCTTAAATTCCTTTGTATTCCTAAATACGTGAAAATACACTATGGTTTTTTGCTGAAATGTGCGGGGTAGATTGAAGAGCGTTCTGTGCAGGAGAAGCTGATCTGTATAAAATACAAGTTTACTGAAATCTATGCAAACGTGAAGCACTACCTTGGGTTAATAGACACCTTAACAGGATTCATTAGCTAAGTGCTGTTGGTGCTGCAGAGAATCACAGGTCGTCTTGGATCTCTGGCAGCAGCAGTTTGCATCCACTGAGAATACACTACGCGACATAGCTTGGTTTAATTTTTCTATCTATAAAAAAAGTAAGGCTTTTCATTTGACCAGTTTATTCACCCCTTAAAATTCATTATCCTTCTTGAAACAGTAAGAATTCCTACCTAATACCTTCCAATGGGAAATGTACAGAAGAATCTCATCCATAGAATCAGCTGCCCCACCAATGGAAGAAACCGTTTTCTTCCTCCTTCTTAAGTTTAGATATTTTAATTTAGTTTTCTTCCATCATAGGATATGACTCTGACTTGAGAGATTTGCTACAAAAATGCTTTCTGTTAGATTTGTGATTGTATGCACCATGTCCTTCAGAATTCAGAGGTATAGATTATCTGATTGCTCATAACGGAGGTGAAGTATTCATTTAGTTTTCAAGCTAGAAGTTATCTTTATTTACATTTTGCCTTTACGGTTCATTATTCCTTCCTCCCTACTGACATACCTGAAGAACTCTTGGATTTTACAAATGATACTGAAATGTATCCTGTACTCAGGATGTCTTTTAGTAATTTTCACTGTCTTTCAACTCCTGGACTGCTCGGTGCACCTTTCCTTGAGTTCCATGCTCATCTTTAATATCCTCTTTGGGGTGATTTTTAGTTCAGTAGCATCCTCCATGCAATTTTCTATCCTGTGGCTTTGGGGCACACCTTATTAATAGTTGTTGTTGCCATACAAGTCCTGGGAGTTTATTTCAGCCTAGATCTAATGCAGACATGTGGTTTCAATGACCGTTAGCCGTTGTTCAAGAGCTCATTCCTCCATGAAAGAAGCCCGTTTCCAAAGTCTGAGGTCTGCTCAGTCCTGTGGGCTGCAGCAGAGTAGGCAGCACTTACAAAGCACGTTCCTGGCCCAGACTAAAATGCTAATGTAGATGCACCCATGCTGACCCCTAGTGTCACTGCTGCTCTGAGCAGACACTACCTAGCATCTAAACTGGGATTTCTCTCTCAAAATCTCTGTACTTAAATGTTCAGTACAGCTTACTCCTGAGTTTCCAGCAACTTGAAAATACAATGGCAGATTATCCAGTACAGTACAGTTCCCTCGCCCATTTCTTTTTACCTATGGAATCATA